ATTCTTTTAAAACTTGTAATTTGATTGGCTAAACAACATATGACAATACATGAACATTGTGTAACATTGGACGGTTCCCCCTGTTGTCCGGAGCACATGATAATCATCATATTGCACAAACGCGTGATAAAGTACAAATATAGACACGCGTGCGGACAGACAAGAATTTTCAAAATTATGTTTTTGATGCATTAATATAAATTTAGTCAAAAAAGTAACTATTGATGCATCAAAAACGCAACTTTTGTATCACCATGACTAAACACTAAATGTCCTCCGCTACGCTCCGGACAATGAAAATTTGACACAATTCATGTATGACGTACATTTGTTTTCTCCAAAACCTATCTCAGCAACCATATCAAACATGTCAACCATATCTGTACCCGCCTCTACTGCAACAGAAGACAAAAATGTGCCCACGTTAATCGAAGCCATAAAAGAGTTGAAACCAAACGACCTTATTGAATTTTTACGGAGGGAGAAAGACTTACAGCTTGACGAGGATGACTTTCAAGTTTTTCGCAATGAAAAAATTACTGGTGGTGACTTTCTCATAATAACTGAAAATAGACTTCTAAGCTACGGCATAAAAGGGGGACCTGCTATGCGAATCTCGAACTTCGTTAAGAAGCGAAATCCTGCGTTCTCCGGTATGTTACAGAATCCAAATTGTAGAGTCTTATATGACCTGAGTTCCTTCTTTACCAGCTTATTTTATTTTATAACAAAATTTCATTCTGTCACTAGAAGAGATCAAAAAAGGGAAAATCCAATACTTTTTGTTTTTTTCTTACAAGACATGGTCGTTAGATCATTATGTCACTTGGATCCTCGATAATTACGGTTGTACGGATGAGCTTGAAGCCCACTATACATTTTTTTATGATGTTATAAATGCCATCAACCGTGATTCAAGTGCATCACGGGAAGTCCATAATGCTATCCAAAAACTTTTTAAAAAAAAGAAAGAAAGTATTATAAATATGCGGTTGGGACTAGGGGATTCAGTTACGCTTATCAGTAACTATAGTTATGTCATACTATAGTAAGTTGTAGCAGGACCCCGAACAATATATATAGAGGTTACATTAGCTTTAATATAAACTTTTTAAATTTTTTATCCACTTTTTATTAACCATAATTTACATATAAGCTTTAATATTTAATTAATTTTACCCAATTGACAAATATAACATTATTTTTTATTTAGAAAAATTTTTTTCTTTTATAAATTTTTTTTCTTCTTGAAAAATTTCTTTCCTTTTTTTTATTTTATTATCCAAATTTTAAATATAACCTTTATAAAACTTATCAATTTTATCCACTTTTAATAACATAACATTAAAAGCTTTTATCCACTTTTAAATGTAACCTTTTGACCAATAACCACTTTTCAAATATAACATTTTTGTAAAAAAGTAATCTTTTTAGCCAAAATTTCAATGTAACCTCTATATATATTATTCGGGGTCCTGTTGTAGCTACGCCTCTAGTTAGGATTTCGGAATCTTGCGTGATTACCGGAGCGTTCTGCTGGGCACATGCTGGGTTCATCCTGGGGAGTGTAGGTGTTCGCGAGCTTCATTTGTTAAAAGGTCTACTGATTCCGGAGGAGGGGTTGGTTATGTCTTCCTTTTTATGACTTGACAAAGAAGCGAAGGTTTTTGTGCATCATCCATCCTAATCTTAATTTTTACATTATTTTACTTTCTGAGAAGTATTTTTCTCATATCTGATATTATTTTTTTTTTCTTTTGTATAGCATGATATCAATAGAGCAAGCTGTATCTGGAAAGATGAAAGCAATACGCGTATAATTTTGGGCGATGTAACTAATCTGATACCTGTGACGGGAGAAAAGCGAAATAGAAATTATTACACCACAGACGCCATAGGCACCTCGCCAAAAAAGGAGAAAATATCAGCTAATAGTGCGACTACCTTTAAGACTGGTCCCAATGTTCAGTACCCACCATCACGTAAGTGAGGATTATTTCTAAGAACAACGTATATGTGTTTTTTTTTTCTTTTAGTATTTTATGTTTGTTTTAAGATCTCAGTCAAGAAGAGGCGCTTTCGTGTATTCCGCCAACCCTCGAATATTAGCCGTTTGCTTGCGATTCAAAAAGCACTACATCAGTAGACAGTAAACTACCAAAAGAAGTGCTTCTGTGGGAAGATTTTTTAGAAAAAGCAAATGAGCATCTCTTTGATCAACAACAAATGGTATTTGAAAAGCCACAATTTCATTACAACCGTCTATTATTTAATGAATCGAATGTTTGTGAAGCTGTGAACGCCAATATTAATTCGGTCTTAAATGAGTTAATGGGAACGGATTACGAATTTTCAAGCCGGAAACCTTACGTTGGTGAGCCGGATTTTACATGTTACCACAATAATGATTTGGTCATGATATTTGAAGTTAAGAGAAAGCATATTTTGAAAGAAATGGATGAACGGACATTACCAGAGCTTTACATAACAAACGATAAAGCCAAGATGGTGATCCGACAAATATATGGTTATATGGTAAAAAATCAGCTTCAATATGGTATAATTACTACATATGATGGCCACTGGTTTCTATACCGTTCGAACGATCACCCGGAAGTGCTCTATATTTCAAAAACACTTCCATTGCAATCAAAAGCCCCTCCGGTACTAAAGGCTTATGCATATATGGCACTGCAGGCAAAGAATAATATTATCCCCCAAACCCCTTAAATCCAAAACAGTAATTTATTCTACTAATAAAATTGTATTGATCGCGTTTACTTTCTGCATATTTATTTCGGAATTTTATCCTTCTTTGAAAGTGCATTCCGTATTACATTGTACGGGTGTTGATGTGCACATATGATAGAATTTTTTGTATCATGTGACTTTTTATATGTATGCGTATATATTAATGCACGAAGTGCACTTTCTACGAAAGATAAACTGAGGTTAATAAAGTAACTAGATATGACTCTATTATCTCTACACATTTAAATCCTGACTAATTTTTTTCTGCCTACTCACACAATCGCGTTAAATAAAAAATGGCGAGCCCATAGGACCCCTCTTTATTTCATAAAAATTGTTGCCGAACAACAATATAACATACAAATAAAAAAAAAATTTATAATAAAAAATAAAAAAAAATGATATAGGGGGTACGATTATAGATAGTCATCTGCATGACCAGGATTTATAACACTCCAGTCATCATTTTTTTTATAATTTTCTACGGCTTCTCTCGAAATAGGGTAGAGGGGGTCATTATCTGTTTTTAATGTAACAGAAAATTATATTTCAGAGAAATACTCAAAACCCGTTCCAGAAAAATACAAACTTAATTATGCAATATGAAATTTACTTACAAGTTCTATTACTGTATTGGGGTCTTCGATTAGACGACCTTGGATTAGACATTACTGGGTTAGACGGTGTTGAGTTAGGTGGTGCTGGGTTGGACGGTGCTGGGTTGGATGGTGCTGGGTTAGACGGTGTTGAATTAGGTGGTGCTGGGTTGGACGGTGCTGGGTTGGACAGTGCTGGGTTAGACGGTGTTGGATTGTTAGAATTATTAGTACTGCTCATTTTGCATTCCTAAAAATAAAAAATCATAATGAATAAGGTTTCGCCCTAGTAGTCATCCTAGAAAACAATTGTAGGTCGAAACCCTCTATATAAAACAAATACATACGTTAGAAATAAATTACAAGTGAACTAAGTAAAAAAAATTATATATGAGCAAAAAATATTATAACCCACCCAACAAGGAACAAAAAATCGCTTATTTTTATACCGTCCATTCGCTAGATCTGAAAAACCTGCCAGAAAAAAAAAGTTACATGATTAGTAATTGTGTTATCCTAACACAATACTAGATCCAGCCACGTAAAGCAACCCCGTTCGGCTATAAGTTCCAAATACTGAATCCATTTCGTCGTTTTTTAGGTGAAATTAAACCCCCTTAGATTTGACGATCGCTACTACGAAGTGAAAAAAGTTGATGATCTGGGAATGGCGGAGATTCCAAGTCCTAGTAACATATGAATTTCGATAAAACTACTGGTAAAGAAAGTTGTACTCTTCCCTATTATAGCCCTTTTAAGTTCCATTTGCGCTTTTTCTTATCGCAGTATCATATTTAATAAGAAAAGGCTTTTTAGATATTCGTTATCAAAAATCGACCGTGAGAAATTAAGGTAATACCGCATAAAATTTAGACTCGAAGGGTCATTGCAAAGCAATAATGCAGGCCATTAAAGCCGGACAAGTTTTTATTGCACATTCGAATTGATAAACCTGACGTTAAGTGATCGCAGAAAAGCGGACCCGTGGGACCGTTAAATCATATAATAGTATGACACATAATAAATACTAGCGACATGGTTATGTTAAAATGGAGCACATATGTGTTTACAAGTATGTATTAAATTCTAGATAACTGCTGTTAAGCCACTGTCTCTTGGAAAGAGGATGCTCTGCATCTGAGGTGCTATTGGCTTTTTCTTAATAAACATATATAAAATCGCTAAGCCACTGTACATGCAGAAGTTCCATGACCTTCGATTTTGTATGACATGTGATATGTTGATCAAACATCCGTGTTATGCAATCGATTTTATTACTAGAAATATCAGACATTTTCCGAGACTTTATTTTTTATTTTTTTGGTAAAATAGCAATATATCCACATGTATACAGCAGGCCCATAGGGCGACTCGAAGAGTCATAATTGTACTATTTTTATTAAATAAAGAAAAGTGATCGAGGATCTTTATCTTTCCTCTTCATTTATCGATTCCATATGGAAGAGTGGTTGACTACCTATATCGTGCATAATGGCATCACTTTTGTTTCGTAATAAGGATAAATTTAGCAAATCAGGTGTTAGATTACTGCCGGAGACAGCTACTTTGTGGTTAGAACTGTCTTGGCTCTGATTATTATTTTGTGCTTCATCTGTGGCCCGTGAGTAAGGTGGTGGTTGAGGAGATAATGTTTCAATTGGAGGCGGTGGGACGCTAATATTTTGCTCAGAATTTCTCATACCAGGGTTGTTTATATTAGTGTTATTATGGGGTGAAGCGGGATATGGTAAATGTCTTTGACTCCTTCTACTAATAATAGATGGAGACCGGTTTAGTCGTCTAACGGAGGATCTCGTACTCAATGCATGCTCAACTTCCTCAATAGATAGTGCTGGTGTTGTATTTCCCACATCTCTATTTCACCTACAGTTTGAGGAATTAATATTGCGAATTCTATCGAATTCATCTTCAGGCCTCTCCCAAAAATGTATATGGAATTCATCAAAATATTGTATACCGTTCGGCTTCTTCGTGCTCTTCGATTCCCTGCCATATAATCACATATCAACTAATTGACATGAATTATTAGACATAAGCAAAAAAATCTGATCCTGATAAATTTCTTACTATACCATACTTACGTTGTAATCCCGAACAAGATTCATAAATTTTTTTTTGCATTGATACTCATTAAAGCTCGTATTATGCTCTTGATTAATTTTGGTTGCAATACTATCCCAAAATCTAATTCGATTCCTTCCAAAATTATGATATTCACCATTTCTATTTCTACGCTCATCAATAAGTACACGGATTTGAGAATCGGTCCATTCAACCATTTTTCGATATTTGGGTTCGATAGAGATTTTTTGCTTTGTTTTATAGCGGAGCTAGTGTCTATGACACATAAGTATATTTCTGACTATCATAACCGCACTTCAACAGTACTTTAACCACACTTTAACCGCACTTTACTCATATTATATTACGATATATTGTATAATTAATTATTTTACCAACCACATTCCAACTGCACTTCAACCATACTTTAACCGGTGTAAATCTATGGTATAATTAACCGAATTCGTATGCCTCGGATTTGCATATCTCGGATTTGTTTATCTTGGACCAGGCGATCTCAAATGGTAGGTGTCGTATATTCCTATTGCCAGAAAATTAAATCATATGCTTGTAATACCCGAAATAGATCTCTCAAACTTGTTTTATCTAATAAAGTCATTGCAAACCAGTCCCACAAACACGATTAATTTCCTGCATGTTTATCAGTCACAGGACATGTCCTTCCCCGATGATCTTCATAGTAATTATTTCTCATGTAACGTATATCGACATGACTTCTTTTTCAAATGCTTTGAATAATTTAGTAGCAAATAATATTCTTACTTTAAATAAATCTA